TTTTAATTTTTTTCTTAAAATAAGTGCATTTTTCTTGAATTGAGCAGGTAAGTGAGACACTTTGCCAAAAACAACTGCAGCTTGTTATTTAAAGTGCATAATATCTAATTATGTTATTTCAAGGTTAAAAGCGCTCATACAAAGGCAGAGCTGAAAGTTTTCTCACTGGTTTACCAGATGTAGAGTTGCTGGTTACGAGGTGCCACCCCATCATGAGGCACCAGATGGCAAACAGATTTGCCTGCCTTCCTCCCAGAATCTCGTGCAAGCTGACGCTCCATAATGAGCTTTGCTAACACACTCTGCAGCTGGGCTCCTCCACTGCAATAATGAACCGTCTCAAAGCTCTTACTAATAACTACGCTTTTAAAAGCTCATCATAACTACAGGGAAGACTGTATCGCCACTAATCTTACTACAAAACTTCCTGCACTGTAAATACAATCTAGAAATAACTCAGTATTTCCTAAATTAAGTGTATTTACCTTTAATTTGAGCAGGTTAACGGGATGATTTGCCAATAGTGTGAGTATTTTTACTCTTAAAATAAGATATTTAGATAAAAGGCACTTTTAATAAGACATTGCAATTGTTTTTTTCTCATTTTAAATGTAAATTATCTTGTTCCATTGGCAAAGTGTCTCACTTACTTCCTCAATTCAAGAAAAAATGCACTTATTTTTAGTAAAGTAAACTTATTTTTGCAGTGTGTTCACTGGAAAAACGGCCGCCATTAAACAGTTAAATGTCTCTTGCAGGACAGAGTTTTTGTCTTTTTTTTATTATTTCTATTTACTTTTATGTTTGTTTGTTTTTTTATCCTGTTTTGTGTTTTTAATGTGTGAGCAGCTGAGGAGAAGGTCTAATTATTCTCACTTCTCAGAATCTGGGTCCTGATCTCCTGCAATAAACATCTGGGGAAAACTTTCTTCTGACTCATACCTGAAACGTTAGACTGGCTGATCACCTAAGAAAAAAACTGTTTTTTTTTGGCACATCGGCACAAAAACAATCATATAATTATTAATTTACAGATAGCATTAACTGGATCCTCCTTATACTGTAGGAGGAAAGTAATACATTCTCATTTAGATGGATATAAAGGGCAAAACTGGCCTGAATATGTTGTACATTTTATAGGATATGAGGAAGAAATGAAGAACTTTTGGCATTTAATATATCATATTCAATTTGTGATAAAGAGGAAGACATTGATGATTAAACACTGTAAAAAAAATCGAAATCTAGAAAAGTCTTTTTTTCTTAAAATAAGTGCATTTGTTCTTGGATTGAGGAGGAAAGAGAGACATTTTGCCAATGGAACAAGACATTGTTCCATTACACTTCAAATAAGAAAACACAATTGCATTGTCTTATTTCAAGTGCATGTTATCTAATTATCTTAATTTAAAGTAAAAATATTCATTCCATTGGCAAACTATCTCATTTACCTACTCAAATTAAGGATAAATACACTTAATTTGAGAAATTTTTTACTTATTTCTAGACCATTTTTCCAGTGAACAGGTCTCAAGAAAGTGTTACACTGGAAAAACAATCTAGAATTAAGTTTAAAAAAATTATTAAATTAAGTGTATTTATCCTTAATTTGAGTCGGTAAGTGAGATAGTTTGCCAACGAATAAGTATTTTTACTCTTAAATTAAGATAATTGGATAAAATGCACTTGAAATAAGAAAAAGCAGTTGTGTTTTTCTATTTTAAGTGTAAATGATCTTGTTCCATTGGCAAAATGTCTCTTTTACCTCCACAATCCAAGAGAAAATGCACTTATTTTAAAGAAAAAATGACTTATCTTGATTTGATTTTTTCCAGTGCATTACCACCTATTTCTTTTGTTCATCGAAGCGCTGCCA